ACACGACAAATAACACTATAACACTATATAACACGATATAAACTATAATATTAGGCCACATCCCCTTCGAGGAAAACAAAACTCACAATGTTTGACCTGCCACTGATGAAGGACTTAAGAGTAAAAACCGGTCAAACCCCACAGTCGAGAATTCCGAATGTCTCGTATCATGATTGCTTTCCAGATTACTTCCAACAACAACATCAGGTTACAATGTAAAATAGCCTATTCACAAATTCAATAAGATTTTTTGTTAGTATTTTTTTTTACAGTCTATGCTTTTTCGCACATAGTGCTGACTTGCATGTGAACTCCTTTCAACTTCAGACTTCTTTCAGTGAGAGATGAAGTGTCCTATCATAATTCTGCAAGCGCAGGCTGTTCCCAGCAGCACCAGGGAGGCCCTAAGACAAGCATGTCAATCAAAACCTCAGCATGGCTCTCGCTCTCTGTTGTTCTTTCACCCCTCAGAGATTTCCTCATGAGCGTCAGGTTTCACAGCCCGAGAAAACCCCGGAACACATTCGCATTCATTTTCTCAGAGAAGCAAAGTCTTAGCAAGTAAAATGATCTCATATCAAGGCTGTAAATCCCTGAGTGTACGATCCACCCTGTGATCCAATGGAATATTGTTCTTATTATCTGTATTTTTCTGCTGGACATCTGTTTGCAAAATCATCCCGCAGTTTTGGAGAGATCGACACTGTTCCAACTCCTTCCAGCTTTTTGAACAGATGCAGTTTTCTTACAATCATCGTTAAATGACAATTTTTTTTCCCATAGGAATGAATGAGGTGCGCAAGTTTGCGCACCTAACTTATGTTTATACAAGTCCTTTAGCAATACTTTATTAACTATGTGGGGAACCATAGGAACCACCTAGCAACATCCTGGCAACCACCTGGGATACCATTGCAACCACCTAACAATATCCCTAACAACATCCCTCGCAACCACCTAGCAACGGCTTAAGCTGCGCGATCACTCTTCATTTTCTTCCAGAAATGCACATTTCTAGTTTTAAGTATAATTATATTAATCAGTCTTGCACAGATATTTTGCCTTATTTTTAATCAAAACTAGTACAAAGGGATCCAGACTGGGTCTCCCAAAAGCATCTTAGCACAAAGGTGATTGTTAAATGGCTGAACACTTTCTCCACCAGTTAAAATTAACTTAACACTAAGACACTTTTGGGACCAGGTTGTGATGGTTGCGTCATTAGCTTTAATGTTTTTCATGTTCTTACATTGTATTACTTTAAGGATTCTGAGATTTCTGATGCTATTTGAAAGTTAAGCACCGAATTTAGGACTTTAAACTGATTTTGCTAGATTTCTTAGAAGTTGCCTTGTTGTAGTATCTTCAGATGTGATCTGAAGTTGGTAAAATATGAAATAAAGTTCTGATCTTCTGTTGTTTGGCTTGGCTCATGATGACTTATTTGGAGTACGAAATGTAACGTTTATTTTGTCTCAGGTTGTGAACAATACAGTTTTAAAAAAAGACGAATGAGAGAAACAGATGTATAGTACATTAAGTCACTGTATCATATTATTGATTATAAAAAAAGGACCTTTAATGGTTATATCTTAAATAATAAAAGTTTAAAATGCTATATTTACATATTGTCTACTTTAAGGTAATCAAGGTGATAAAAAAACAAAAAAGTAGATATTATTAAATACAGTTTGATCTGTATTAATTGAAAACAGTACAAAACACAATATTTATTGTTTTATATGTATATATATATATATATATATATATATATATATATATATATATATATATATATACACACACACATATATATATATATATATATATATATATATATATACACTTATTCCAAATTTGATGCCTGCAGCATATTCCAAAAAATTTGTTTAGCATTGTGTTACATCAACTTTCTTTTTAACTTAAGAATCATTTGGGGACTGAAGACACAAACTGAACCAATTCTGAAACTGGATTTTTTTGCCATTCTTCAGTTACACAAGTCTTCCGCTGTGCAACTGTATGAGGCCTTCATTATTGCGTCATACATTTTCAATATAAAATTCTCGTCTACCAGCCGCACTCTCTGCTTATGCAGCCATGCTGGTGTAACACATGCAGAATCTTTCTTGCATTGTTATGTTGAAACAAGTGATGTCCCTGAAAAAGACAGCATCTAAAAGGCAGCATAGTGCTCCAAAATGTGTTTATATTCTTAAACCCATTAATACACCCTCATACCATGACAGGCGCTGGATTTTGAGCTTTATACTGGTAACAAACTATATGGTCCTTCTCTTCTTTGTCCAAGAGATAAGCTTGAGCCCAGAGAAGTTGGCGGCATTTCTGGACACTATTGGCATTGGCTTCCACTGTGCATAGTACAGTCTTAACTTACTTTTAAGGACGCAGCGATGGATGGTGTTTGCTGACAAGTATTCTCGAGCCCATGCGTTGACCTCCATCTCAGAAGGATGCTGGTTTGTAATGCAGTGCCGTCTGAGGGTTTGAAGGTCAAAGGGCATCCAGAGATGGTTTTCGGCCTTGCCTTTTATGCACAGAGATTTCTCCAGATTCCTTGAATCTGTTAGATATGCACCGTTGAGGGTGAAATACCTAAAATCCTTGCAAACGCTTGTTGAGCAACATTGTTCTGAAACAGCTGGACTATAGGTGAGCCTCGACCCATCCTCGCTCAAGGCTTTTCCTGGGTGCTTCTTATTATGCTCAAGCATGGTTACATTACCTTTTTAAAAGTGTTTTCTGAACATTCAGCAATGTTCCTAGTCGTAAATTGTCCTGTTCTAATTTTTTAGGAAAATTTTGGCAGCATCAATTTCAGAATGTGCATGTATTAGCAAAAAACAATCAAGTTGATAAGATTAAACATTAAATCTCTTGTCCTGCTTTTGTTTAAATACAGATCTCTATCTACGTACATACAGATTTAAGCAAATAAGCGATTTACAAATCATTGCTTTCAGTTTTTCTTTTATACATTCTTATTTTGCTGGAATTAGGTTTGATATTTTTGTCCATTTAAAGAGATTTGACTACTTGTTGGCCTCATTAGCAGATTTTCTTGCTAAAATCTCATTTTAAACATATTTCTTCTATTTTGTATGAATGACTTTTTAGCAGTGCACACTTCACACTCCATCACATCAGAGTCAGCGCTTGGGTTGGTCACACACTCTGGTCAGGACGGGTCCAAGCCGGTCAGAACCAGGTTGGACCAGCAGCGGCCAGAGAGCCTTTCTTTCCCCGAATTGCTTAAACTCAAATACCTCAGAGGAGATTATTACACAGCTCAGGGAGTGAGCGTGTGAGTGAGGGGGGCACATTTAGCGAATATCACTGAGCTTTGTGAGGAAAGCAGTGGAGGTGAGTCAGAGTTCAGTCCAGCACTGAGGACTGCGGGCCTGTAACTCTCCCATGGTCGAGGATTCTGATTGGCCATCTGTCCAGGGTAACAACAATGTCTAGACTACATATGGAACATATCAGGGAAAACCAAATTTACCCACCTTTCTTTTTAAATTAGAGACTTTCATGTAGTGTAAATACTGTTAGAGTTTCAACACATTATTTTCACTCCATATGTGAAAACTACACTGCAAAACGACCATTTTAAATAGTATTTGTGATGTCACACCAGCACATTTACAATATATTTACCTTTTTAACATACAGCAGTTTAGCTCTGCCTATTCATGCTGAAATTGTACTGTTTCAGCCTGGACTTCTTTTTGAAAGAGGCATAGGTTGGAACATGGGCATGACTGTTTAACTTGTTTTGGTTTACGGTTTTGCTGTTTTTGCAGGTTTTTGCTCGGAAAATAAGAACATCAAATTGACTTTTTTTTTCCCCACATAATTTGCACCTGTGCTATAAGTTGCTATAAGTTAGCCTTCAATTTTACAGCATACTAGCTAGAAAACTACGTTTTGCTGATGTTATATGAACTGAGTTAGGAGTTCATATAATGTTTCAAGGAATGTTTTTTATAATATTATTATCAGATAATGGGGAAACTCCAGGTCTACATGAATCAGACAATAATCTGATTTCTGCTTTGCAACAAGGCAATAAACTCACAGAAGATGTGACTTTAAACATCGTGCCACTTTACCTGAAAATATGAACCTACAAAGAATATTTCAATCTTTCACTTCGTCAAGCATGTAGTCGGTTTCAGCGTTGCTCCAAAAGTGTTTTGCTGCATCTCTGCATCAATGCTTCAAAGCCGTTTGCTTATTTCCAGTACCGCTGTGTTTCGCACGTGTGCAGACTGAGAAATCCGAAAGAAATCAGAGTAAGAGCTCACATGTGCTGAGAAATCTGATTACTGAGATAAAAACCAGCTCTCGTTATCGGATTTCTTAATCAGATTTCTAGACCTTATTCCAGTGTAGGAAATCAGGAGTGTGCAGTTTACATAACCATTTGAATAATCAGATAACTGCAGAAATCCGATTATCATCGGATTATTGAGAGCATGGGGGAAGGTCCTGCTTTTATAATAGGTCACTATTAACACTCATCATTTCAGAAGAAACGCTGGTGTTGACAAACTTTTGGACACGCAGTGTATGAGCTACACGTGAAGCCTGTTTACCAGGAATAGTCATGTTCAACTCAAGTTATCTTAGCTAAGAGATAATTAGCTTTATCAACCATTCTGCCGGGGGTGCACAGGTTCAGTGGTTAATGAATAAAACATCTTAAGGTAGAGCTCAGCTGTTTGACACAACTCGGCACAACCTTACATTGAACTCAGAGGTGTTTCTAAACATCTGGAAGCCCTGAGTAACATTGACTCGGGGGCCCTTGTGCCATTTTGGATGTAAGGACTACAGCAGGGAACTAGTTACTAGTGCTAAACTGAGCCACCGCTGCACCGCTGTTGCTTGAACACCTCTTTGCGGTCGAATGCACAGATGTATGAAGGCTCAGAGCACCAAACACTTACACTTCAGGTTTAATAAACAGCACAAAGTCACATTTTTGTACAAGCTTTTAATCGTATCAAGGTTAATTTGTTCAACAGTACCTTGTATCTCACCTGTTGCTGTTGGTACATTTTGTTTATGACAGTGACAGTTAAGTTGAGGGCACTTACTTCGTCTTCCTCATCCTTCCCTCTGTTCTGCTCCAGAGCCTTATGGCGGGGTGGATAGAGAGGAGATGTGGAGGAGCGGCCCATGCCTGCTGATCTGAGACCAATTTTGACTTTTCAAGACTTCTGTGAAGATCTGGGAACCACGATGCGGAGATCAGGATCCCAAGACTTCTGAGGAACTTTGACAACTATATGCGGAGGCCTAAAGTCACTGTTTCCCAATTATGTTGTTCCAAAGGGAACCACTGCACATTTAGTGTTTTGGTTTTGTCGTAATATCCAAATTACAACCTCTACAGATTTGGTAATCAGTTGATTTAACAAAGCGGGATTCTGAAGCTGGGCAATTTAAAGGAGTACCCCAACCTGATCTCCATCTGCTGCATCAGTAGCTTACCTTGGAGGTTTCCTGGCACTTAGTAAAAGAACTTTAAATAATAATAATAATAATGATAATAATAATAATAAAGCCAATATGAGTATGTTTTGAGTTAAGTGCAGACATTTCTATCCATGGTAATCAAACTATGCTACAGATGCAGAGATATCAGGCTGAAAACAATGGAGTATTCCTTCAAGCGCCAAATCAAGCCTGTTCAAATACGAAAATTAGCCTCAAGAAGAGGTGCAAGACAATACTACTGGACCATCCTCACTTTGGGCTTAAAATAAAGACTGTCCAATAGCTAACACAGGGAAATATCCCACAGACAGAAAGGAGGAGGTTACTCCTACCTTCTTACTTTGCTGCAGCTTACAAGAAGGAAAGGACGTGTCTGAATTAGGGCTGCATAATATGTTCTTTGTTAATTAGTATTGCAACACTGGCTCTGGCAATACTGATATCACAGAAGGATGTAATACGCAAATGACCACATTAGTGTTTCTGTAGGTATTTTGATGAATTAAGGTATTCGTGCAATCCAAATATTTAATGTCGCATTACTGATTCACCTGTACACTTTAAAAAAGGGCCCATATCCTAAGTTGTTATTGTATTTTTTTTCTCCTTAAAGCCTTTGTATTATTTTATGTACCAAAAGAAAAAACTTTTTTACTTGACCATTTTAAACCTCTCTTCATTCCTTAGTATTAAAAAGGCTATTTTTGCTACTGTGCCTTTAAGACTGACATATGTAAATTAACTCTGTTCTGGTAGGCTATCCTGTATTGCACCTAATTCAAAATATAATTCACGGTGTAACACTTCTTATGACGTTGACGTGACTGGGCGGGGCTAAATGGATGTTTGTTTGTGACATCACAATTCAAAATGGGCTGGTTGTTATACGTGGCCTGTATGGTTTGGGGAGTGTTTGATTTGCTTTAAAACTCAATTTCATGCCATATCTCTTATTTTAAAGAAGGTAATATAATAAAGGCCCTTTAATACATTGCAAGGTATAGTTCAACAGCAACATCATCGCAGTGCTAGTATTCTGTCCATATCGTGCAGCCCTAATGTGTTCTCGAGTGGGCGGTTCCATGGCCGCAGCTCCGTCTGGCCAGGCCATATTGTTTGCTAAGAACTGAAAGCCATGTTTAGAGTTGGCTGAAACCTCTTAACAGTTTGAAAAACTGCAAAAGTGGCCTCAGATCAGTGTAAAAGAGCAACTTCCACCAACACCAATTCACGCACACTCACACTGCACTCTTTCAGCTTTATACACACATGCAAAAGTGGCAACAAGTGCTGTCGAAGTTTCCATGACTGTCCTGCCTTTGCCTTCTCTACACACTGTGCTTAACAGCCTTACATGGGATTTAAACCAACCTAAAAAACAAACGAACAAACAAACCAACCTGCGTTTAGCTCTCCCATGTCAGCTGAGCTATCCAGAGCACTTCCCATTCCCCTTCACTCCTTCTGGAGCTTTCCCTCCGGCTGAGCTGTTCGCCATCGTATCTACACGTAGTTTGATTTTCTCCACTTACGTATTTGATCGTTTTGAATCCTAGAATCTAAAAGCAGTATATTGCAGGATACAGTCTCAGGTGTTTTGTTATGCCCAGTTTAGCTGTGAGCTAGCCACAGTGCTAGCCAGAGGGATCAGGGCTGGGAAGCGCCAGACAGCGAACCTAAAAAACCAAACACAAAAAAAAACAAAACAAAACAAAACAAAAAAAAAACCCAAAATCATCTCTATGCTTTTCATAAGCATCTCTTCCATTCTAAAGCAAAACACGTGACATGACCGCTGAGTTTGAGCCCAAATCAAGACGTGGCCACCGTTCGACTCAGCTCTCTGTTGCTAAAACCTCACAGTCCACTTTTCTCTCGTCCAGTCCGTCCAAAGCCGCCCCATTCTTGCCCGCTTTAGCAGTGGCCCAGTGGAGGATGGCCTGGTTTCTTGGTGGTTTGTAGCCTAGCCTAGCGTGTGATGGTGCGCGGCGCATGCATTAAGGCTGGACAGGGGGATGCTGGGACATGGCCGAGTGGGAGGGACCGGACTGGACCCCTGGCTGTGCTGGAGGAGGGGGCGGAGGAGGAGGGTGTTGCTGCGCCCCGGAGTGTGTGTTTGGGGAAGGTGGGGGCGTGGGGCGCTTGAACTTGTCCGGGCTGTTGCTTCTCCTGGGGGACGGCCTCTGTGTGGAGACAAAAAATGAGGAAAATTGCTGTCAATGATGTCAAAACTAAAAAACTGGAGATACGAGGTTTTGTTCCGACAACAGCGAATATCCTAGATTGTTATTATATAAAACTACATATAATATTAGATACTTGCTATAATTAATACCACAGTAAGATTTCACCACTTTTAGTTTTGTTTTTTGGGCCTAGTTCTTTAAAATGACATTTTACACCGATCAGGCATAACATTATGACCTTGTTTCTACGCTCATTGTCCATTTTTCAGCTCCACTTACTATATAGGAGCACTTTGTAGTTGTACAATAACAGACTGTAGTCCATCTGTTTCTCTGCATACTTTGTTAGCCCCCTTTTACCCTCTTCTTCAGTGGTCAGGACCCCCATGGACCCTCACAGAGCAGGTACTATTTGGGTGGTGGATCATTCTCAGCACTGCAGTAACACTGACGTGGTGGTGGTGTGTTAGTGTGTGTTGTGCTGGTACGAGTGGATCAGACAGCAGTACTGCTGGAGTTTTTAAAAACACTATGTCCACTCACTGTCCACTCTATTAGACACTCCTACCTTGTCAGTCCACCTTGTAGATGTAAAGTCAGAGACGATAGCTCATCTGCTGCTGCACAGTTTGTGTTGGTCATCCTCTAGTCCTTCATCAGTGGTCACAGGGCGCTGCCCACAGTACACTGTTGGCTGGATATTTTTGGTTGGTGGACTATTCTCAGTCCAGCAGTGACACTGAGGTGTTTAAAAACTCCAGCAGCACTGCTGTGTCTGATCCACTCGTACCAGCACAACACACACTAACATACCACCACCACCACCACATCAGTGTTACTGCAGTGCTGAGAATGATCCACCACCCAAACAGTACCTGCTCTGTGAGGGTCCATGGAGGACCTGACCACTGAAGCACAGAGTAAAAGGGGGCTAACAAAGTATGCAGAGAAACAGATGGACTACAGTCTGTAATTGTAGAACTACAAAGTGCACCTATATAGTAAGTGGAGCTGATAAAATGGACAATGAGTGCAGAAACAAGGAGGTGGTGATCAGTGTATATTGTCCCTAATTTTGATTTGGCTACTAGTTACTTTAATATTCTGCAGTAAAATTGTTCCATTTTTGATATGAACAGCGATACACACTTTGACCTGATGTCTGTTTTTTTTGTTATCTACATACATGGAACAACTGATTTCATATCACTAATGTGTGCACAGTAGCTGTACACAGTGTTTCTACTAATGCTGGTTTAAAACCAAAAGCAGTAGTAGTTTCATTTTCAACAGACTCACGAGTGAAAACATAGTGGGAATGTATTTTGTATGCGAGTCTGTCATATTGTTTGTGCTAAGTGGCAGAAAGAAAAGTCAAAGCAAACTAGGCCCTCGCTCAGATTTTCACGTTACCGTTTAGACTAAACATGATGACGATGCTTTCATTGTCTACTGTTAAAGAACTCCACACTACAGACATTTAGGTCTCTGGTAACTTCTGAAAACACACCTCATTGCAACAGGTTGTGGATAATGCTCGTTTATATCACCTCTATGACAGCTGTGCAAGTAGAATGCAAAACACATAAATGAAGCTGTTTAACACAGCTGATACCTCATCCAATAAAATATGCCTGGATTTGCTCTGATCCTTTGGATCAGATTGGGACAAGCTAGTAAATCATATTGAATTGGGCAGCATAATTACTAGACAATTAAAATCACAATTTTTTTATAGAGTCCAATTTTCAAATCGCAAGACCTGCACTTTTTTACACTATAGTCTACATTATCAAAAATGCCTTAACCTAATAACAGAGTTGTATACTGTCTGTAGAGCCTGACCAATCAGAGGCAATCAAACCTCCATTTGTTGTGCCATCACAACCACAACTTACTGGCTTTCTGGCACACTACATGAAGCAGTCAAGCCTCAAGCTAACAAAAGATAATCTGGTTTTCTTGGTTAAAAAAGGTCCTTAATTTATATGAAATCATTGCAATTTAAATTGGCAATTAGATATTTTCCCCACATCGTTCAGCCCCAATTCTGAGCAGCTCTGTAATTCACACGGACACAGAGTATGTGAACGTGAACAGGCCTTTGACGTGAAGTTACTGACTGAGTGAATAACCACGTCTGTGTATATGAGAGATGCCAGCTCCTCTGTTGTTCTGGCTTTATCCGTGCGAGTGGACAGTGTCCAGGGCACGACAGAACATCAAAGGACCTGAACCTTCCGTCGCCAAAACAAACATCCCTCGGCAACCACTCATCCCCATAGCAACCAGCTCTGCTTTAATCCAGCGCCTTTGAGAGCAGCTTTAAGGAACCAAAACACTCTGAGAGGAGCAAAAACTACAGGAGCTTAAGAAAAAAAGAAAACGCAAACGTCACGAGAATAATCCAGTAAGAACATGCACTTCTGACATGGGACGGATTGTCGCATTTTCAAAGTCTGATGTGCTCACATGCTGAATGTGCTGACACTCAGGCAGTACAGCATGTGCCAAGTGCATTGTTATAATCCCACTGAAGGGACACAGAGACATAAAAACACAAAACCATATTAAAAAGTTGCTGTTTTATGAGAAACTGTACTACTGTAGCTACTTATGTCTAAAGAAAATATTTTGGCTATATGCATTGAAAGCTACATTTTGTGTGTGTGAGGGGGGTATTTTCTTCTTTAAGCTTCATGTTATGTAAAAAATGTCTCTTTTTTTTTTAGCCTAACGTCCTAATGGGGGCTTAGGATTCTAACTAAGGCTGGGACCACTTACTAATTTATTGATAACGATTAACAGCAGTTATGAAATCGTTTAGTAGGGAGCTTTTTTAGCGTTTTCCATGCTGATCCATCATCCAAACCACCAGTCTTGGTTTTACTTCTTTTTCACAAACACTGGCTTCACACGCAAAGGTTTTGACAATCCGATTGAATACATTCTGATTATAGATTAAGACTGAGGTGTTTATTAACACTCTACTCAACAATCTGATGGAAAATCTCCGTTTTCATACACAGTACTCTGTAAGTAATCTGCTCCAAAATTATGCACATGCGTAGAGAACCACTTAGTGTAGATGTTACCATGACAACGAGCATCACATGAGTCCAGTCAGAGTGAGACAAGCAGTGGTAAGCAGTGCTTGTGTATTTAATTACTTTAAAATGATGTCAGACTCAGAAAAACGTACTTCACATGTCCTTATTAAAGAAGGGCGAGAGGAAGACGTCGTGTTCTGAGACACATAAGCTGGACGCCCGTCCCACCGCCGTCTTTTAAAGATTAAAGCATAAACTTTGTCTCCTCTGCAGACCAGTTTCTGCTCCCGGTATAAACTTTCAATATGGCGCGACGCACATGATCAGAACGTACTTAAACTTTCAGATTGGGAATGTAATCTGATACAGGCGTTTACACGGCTATTATTATTCTGTTTAACAGATTATTTACAGGATTACCCACCTCATTCAATCGGACAGAAACTGTATTCTGAATGGCCTCAATTTGCAGGATAAATTTTTCCAAGCACACTGAGTGTAAAGCTGCTTTTCCTCTGCATAGTACAGCTCCACTTGGTTTGGCCTGACTCGCTTTTGGTACCATCTACTTTGTTTACCACTGCAGATACAGTACCCCCCTTAATGTAGCTGGTCGTCATAGCAACGCCAAATGAAACTGCCATGATGTGAAGGAGACAAACTGTGTTCAGAAGATCCTGATGGCAGCAAGACAAAAGACTGCTAACAAAAAAAAAAAGGACAGTTTGTCAAACAGAGTCCAGATGACGAGACGATTCTGGTAGCTCAAAAAAGGCCGTGCTAACCTGATAGCTAACTTTAACATATGTGTTCAGTGATTCTCTCCGACCAATCAGTAGTCTGTAGTGCTTTTCGGTCACCCTTTGGCAACAGCTCAGCTCGCTCGGAACCAGGTACTAGGTACCAACCCAGGTAGAGTCGAGTTGCGTCGGTATCATGCAATGCAAAAGCGCCTTAAGCTGCATTAAAAAATGAAAATACAGATATTTATCAACACTTTTGTCCTGATCTGTCAATTTTTCCAAGATGCCTAATATTGATACAAAGCAAAACAGAGCATGTGTGTGTACACACACAGTGTAGTGTCTAAAATAGATCTGCCAGGTTTGTCCTTTCAGTATATGTACAGTGCTCGTGGAAGAATGGACACCACGTTGTTAGCATACTGGAATACTGAAACTGCTATATGAAGACAAAGACCTTAAAATAGTCTTAAGAAAAAGAAAAAAGAGAAAGCAAAATAAGGAGGACACTGCAGTCTAAAAAATAATTAAAACAAAAAACAAACAAAAGAAGGAGCAGGAGAACGGCATGTCCTGCTCAGTCATGGGAACGTTAAAATAATTACAGATGAGCAACGGCTTAAACTCTATACCAGAGAATTGGCAGGCGTGGCAGCATATTACGTTTAGCACATACAGTCTCAATAGCATGAGGACAGCAGAGAACAAAAGAGAAACAGAGGATGAGAGGTTTGTCCTAATCCTGAGTGGATGTTTTCGTCAGTCAGGGGTGTGACACCACACCTGACCTTTAAGTAATCTCTTTCAGGGTGGGAGTGGGGCAGTGCTGGGTTACCTCGAGAATTCAAAAGTTTAGGAATTCTGCTATCAACAAACCTGCAAACTCATTGAGAATAAGGTATAATTAATTCACCATCAAGAAGGCCACGTATTTGACATGTGGTGATGAAATCTCAGCGGATAACATCACACAATGACGCAAAATAAATAATTTTTAACAGTATTATCTATCATGTAATAACTTTTTAATGATTCCAGAAACATCTTCTGGTGTCTAACTTACAGCATTTAAATCTACACTGTACAAGACAGCACTGAACAGAGTAATCATTAATGCAAACTTGTGAACGTGTACTGTGCCTATATGCAAATGTATACCTGAACTCCGTGGGAGGGTCCTGGGTGGATGTGCAGTCCTGGAGGGGTGTAGTGGGGAAGGGGGGCCCGGCTGAGTGTGGCTGGTGGTGTGAAGCCCACCGTGTGACTGGCGTACGACAAACCTGCACGACACGAGATAAAATGTCATCAACAACTTCATGTACTGACACCTGAATCATGTTAAACCATTGTTACAAATGTTTTCCTCTATACAAAATACATTTTTCACAAGACAAATTCTCAATAAATAAATAAATTCCCAATTCACCACATTATTCATTTTAAACCTAAACTATGCTAAAATAAGTAAATCTAGTTATTAACAACATAGGGTGGGTTGCACCAACTTAAACTTTTTAAAATAAAGGCTCATCAATTTATCTCGTGGTATCAAACCTTATTGCAAATATTTATATTTAAACCGTTAATTTGACCCTGGATTACTTTTACTGTAAATCTAGATTAAATTTAATCCTGTTGCACCATTACTTTAAACACAAGACTTAAATTTGATTCAGGAACTAAATTTAACCTTCCAACTCAGGTAGTTTAAATTTACAGCGTGTTTGAAAATGAGTGTTTTATGCAGAACAGAAAAATTTCTCTATCTCTCTGTAAAACGATGGATATAGAGCAGCTCTGAAACACTGCTCGTAGTTTACACTTACTCACTGATGGTTAACCTTTCTCCCCACAAGGGGGAGCTAGCAGCACTAAAGAAGCTCCTGTGCGCATCACTGAAATAGAAGAAAAACACACCAGCAGGATCTTACTGAGGCCCAAAACATACTTCACGCAAGGATGCGAACGCTGATGCTTCGAGCTACGCAGACGGGGTTTTGCGCATAGTTGCGTTCAAAAAAGGCGTATTCTGTAACGCAAAGCAAGCCCGAGCTGTATTCTAAGCGCTATACAGCAAAGGGCGCTACAGCAACAGCCAAGCCTGTCCAAGTGGTCTTGAACCGCCAACTGAAGATGAGCAGCTGAGTCTCACGGAAAAATGAATTACATAAACATGTATGATATGTTTTTGCCTTTGCATTCCAACAGAGCAGGTAACGCAGCTCACTCTCCTCTACAGTCCACATTTAGTTGTTATTGCTGCTGGAATGATGGTAGATCCCTCTCTGATTTGTCCTCTGTCTCCCCCTTGAGCACTGTGTGGTTTTACCGCGACAGCATCGTAAGAAAGCACATTGAGTTTGTACATAGGGACAGAGCGTTTCCAAAGAGTTGGCCAAGCACGGTCATTTACGTTCGCATACTTGTCTTGAATATGTTTCTGGCCTAAGGCACATTCGCTTTGCAGTTACAAACTGCGTCTATATCAGGGGTGTCAAACTCAAGCACTAAAAGGGCCATATAAAAAATCTCAACAAATTTGTGGGCCAAAAATTAAGTTTAATTTTTATTTAACTTTTTTGCTATAAACCGAACTGACCATTAATTATTCGAAATATGCGAAAAATTCAGCAGTAAAATATTACATGAATACTTAAAATATTCAAAATTTTAAAGTCTCCAGGAACTAGACACCTGGCATCTTCTCTTTGCTGCGAATTTATTAATTAAACCTTTAGGTGTCCAAGACTATTGTTGGGGTAGGACAGTCGGAGCACATATTACATTGCAGTGCATGCTGGTGATTGTAGTGCAGTGCATTGTGAAACGAGCTAACATTAATAGAAAATTAAAATCCTTTTGCGGGCCGGAGAGGAATGTGATCAGGCCCGCGGGCCTTGTGTTTGACACACGGGTTCTATATGAAGAAAATGGCTGAAATATACAGGCTTTGTGTATATTTTAAGCAGCCTTTTGAGAGCTGGCTAAACACAATCAAATCATTTCAGGTTGAGGTTTTAATCGCAGATTAAATCTTTGATAATGTTAGTTAATCCATATTTAAAATTGTGTGCTGCAACACAACTTGATTTAAAATAAAACCTAGGTTAACAAATGCTTGATTAGCTCTAAACTTAATATAATCCTTGTTGATGCAAACCATCCACAGACTCTTAACTTATATCCCCTTGTCTTAATGCTGTACTGGGGAACAAACAAACTCTTGTTAGAGATAAACTGGCTAGTTTACAATCATCTACAGTAACGATTCAGGCTTGTTTGCACTAAATTTCTGTGTTGACCTTTCGGTAACAGCTTCCTCCACACGTAGACAACATCTTATCTTCGACTACACGAGATGTTTAACGGTGGTTCTCCACTGAAAAATCTTTTTAGCGAGAGACTGTGGCTGGGGCAACAGGCCCTTAAACTCTTCAAACAAGAGCTAATGAGATAACGGAGACACTTCTTTATTTGGCTGAGACCTGGCAGAGTGCCAGCAGCCCTTTTACGCTCCTGTAATCATTAGCCTACTTTCTGTATCACCCAATGTTCTGGTCCAAGTTGAAAGACGCAGTTTGACGAACCAATTAATCCTTGGCCTCCATGGTAACAGATCAGTTTGTACAGTTTCTCAGAAACTGGAGAACACAGAGATATCAGTAGGCCAGTGTGATAAAACAATGATAATGTGATAATAATATTATCAGAATTAAGTTTTTTTCCACTCAATATTGATAAACATTTGAGGTGTGTTTGGTTAAATGATTATGCCTCTGCATTCCTTGATCCAAGCAGCAAAGGAAATAAATAAGTAGCACACTACGTGGCAGTACATGCCTTTTAATTGCTAGACAGGGAGGAAGAAGTCTAGCCATTCACTCAAAACAGTTCAAACCAATAGGTCGTCGCAAGCTATTTTCGGTGTTAAATTACAGTGAGTGAAAAAGGCTGTGGATTTGAATAGAGTGGCTGAACAAGAGAAGACTGTGGCAAAAAAGGTCACAACGTCTGTAGTGTGGAACTGGCTCAGATTTCTGAGGTCAGATGCAGCACAGAGCGCTCAGAATAAGCCTTTAGCTTTCTTTAGGATTCAAAATGCTACTCAAAATGAAAACTGAGCGCTACAAAACGCATGTAACAATTATGAAGAAATACTCAATACCAAACCATATGAAAAACTAAACAGCCCTAGGCTAAATAATAGTAGGTGTTTATCAGAATCTATACGTGGAGAACGCTTTATAGTGCCTCCAGCTAGAACTGCCCACTGGACACAGAAAGACAGATCCGGTGAGCCTGGTGTGAGGTTAGGTGATGTAGGTTTGTCGTAGTAACGTACCTGGGGATATAGGGCGGCTGGAGGAGGGCGAGGGGGTGTAGGGTATGGGACTGGACACGGTACGGGCTCTCAATCCCTGAGCAGACATCTCATTAAAATACCTACAGAAAGACAGAGAGAAAGAGATAGAAACAAATGATAAAACTGAACATTCTACAGTAACATCAATGACATCATTACCATTAAAGGTAACAGTTTTTGGCCTTTCCTCGTGTAGAAAGACTTTACCCACATTTTTTTTGTAAGCTTAGCAAAATTTATGTATAGTTTTCTTTCTTTCTAGAAAAGTCATCAACTAACCCATGGCACATGGTTTGATGTAATATGTATTACTGAGACTATACTAGAAAAAGAGATTATCTGCAGACTTTGGCCTTTATTCATCAAAGTTGCATAATAAATAGTGTAGATTTGACTGCCTCCAATGACACACAAAGTGTCTGATTCATGAAACTTTCAAACAGTGTGGAAGAAGGGAGATTTGAGCACCGTGAGTGCATGTCTCCCCCTACTGACCTAACTTTATAGTGTTAAAATGAAAATGACATAAATGGAAAGAATAAAACATCTTAGATGATAGAATCTGATTGTGTAGTATGACTATTTTCTCAAAACGTCATATTTAATGGTTGTTTTTTTTTTGCAGTCTATGAGATGCTCCTGCACTAGCTGTGTTTTGTATTGTTTATTTTTTAGGGTGGAGTCAGAAGCCCAAAACATAAGCACAGTGTAATGTGTCTGTGAATGGAAAATGGAATCGTTGCAGCATTTGATTATACCAATGTGCACGTAAAAGAAGTATATATACTTGTGTACTGGGCTGCCATGCACACAAAGTATTAGTAGTGTTGTTATTTTCTATTTTTATTCTCATTATTGGTATTATAGGTAATATAGCTTTGGTTAGTTAACTGCATATGAAACATTTTTTGTTAAACAATTACTCTCAAATTTACTCGCACTCCTGCCAGACGAGTTTGAGTTTGATCATACAGACATTAATTTCATGAATAGCAAACCTGTCCATGAACTCTGCGTGCACTCATTTTACAATTAGATTTGACCGTAAGTAACTCTGATGAATAACAGCCACTGTGATTTTTGTTTTCCCTCTCAGATTTTCTCTAGGGTTTACATCCCACCAACAACAGAATCTACATACTTTTTCAGGTCTGAACCTGAGCATTTTCCATATTTTTCCAGACCTGCTAAAACACTCTGATAAAGCATCCTGCAGATCTGTCATGCTGGAAAATATTATAACAATAATGTCTGGCTGTGCAGAAGCGGTCTTGTGTTTTTGAGTTTGATGTGTAGATGGTGGTACCTCTCATCGTCCATCTCCAGGCTGCTCTCACTCTCACTAAGCTGCCTGCACAGAGCCTCCCTCCTCTCCATCTCTCTCTGCAGCTTCCTCTGCAGACGCATGTTTTCCTCACGCATCTGCCGCTCCTCCTCAATGTACTGAGCCCTCTTCTCTGTGTCTGTGAGAACAAAAGAACAAACAAAAGGAAGAAAGGCTGTGTGAAAGAGTAGCAAACAGAAAATACAGAAAAAACAACATGTTTTTAGTGCATAGTACATCAGCTGAACTGCTCCCTGAATAATTTTATACATGTTTTTCAAAACATATCACTTTGCCCTTTTAAAAGCTGAAGGATAAGCCTACAAAAGATAGGTTATTTCAACTTATTACATCATTGCTCAGAGAGCTCCCTCTAGTGGGTCAATACCACTAACACATACACAGACACACTATGAAAAAACACAGCAGACTGAGTAAATCAATCACATGAGGTCAGACAGAACTATGTATGTGCCCAGCTACAGTACTGCATAAAAGTGAGACCACCCTTTATTCATTTAACTTCCAGCCAAAACAGCCACTAACATTTTTCAGCATCAGTAAAAAGCAGAAAACAAATATTTTACAGAAAATTGCACAGAAGCCTCAATAACTAAATATATTATTTTTTCTCAGTATTTTCAGTATTTTATCCACTCTTTACCTTTATTACATCATACATTCTTTTAAAGAGACTTTCAGTTTTTCAAAGAAATCTGCAGCCACACCTCTAAAGTTCAGTCTTAGAAGTTGGTTTTGCATTTTCTGCTTCATGCCATCCAAGTACCAAAATTCAGTGATGTTATGATCAGTCCATTGTCCAGCTTATTTGTTTGATGTTTGTGTCTCCTTTTCTCAGTGAGGTTCTTCTTGACAGCTACACATCCTTTTAGACCCATAGCGCTGAGTTGTCTTCTCACAGTGGAAGGATGGACAGAAACACCTGTGGATGTTTTCAGATCTACATCACCTTGATTTTCTCCTCTTTTGCAAAGGTGCAAGCTTTTAAGTGCTGTTTATCTGATGAGGACAGTGTTGGTGTCTACCAGGTCTTCCAGGTGGTTGTGAGGAGGCCCATTTTCTCTTTTAATCTTTTCTGATCTTCTGTTTTTTCATTGACTTTCTTCTTCCTTATGCAAGTGGATTATTTCAGCCCTAATCTGATCAGAACTATCTCCTGAAAAATAAATAACTTATACTTAGCCTGCTGTACTGACTGAAAATTAATAAAAGAAAGGTGGTCTCTGACTTTTTCCCAGTACTGTATGTTTACTCTGTTGTCGTGCATTTGTTGGTGCAACTCAGCTGTGTGTATGTGCTGCTCACGCTGTAGCTCGGTTGTGCGCAGGCTGCGTTTGAGCCTCTCCACCTCGCTCTTCAGGAAGCGAATGTGCCGCATCATGTTCTCAGGAGAGTCGATCTCCATGGAAACCTCCCTTGGAGAAGGTGGGGCCGACACAGGCTGGTCAAGCTTCTCCTGCAGGATCCTGCCAATCAAAAAAAGAGGAGGTCAGGGACAGAATAAAAAAACAGCAGTGATGTCTGATCTGGGCCAGTACTCTATAAGCTTCAATTAGCATAACCTGATCTGCGTCTTTGTATCATTAAAGGGGGAGTTTGGAAATAAAAGTAAGTTACACATTTTCCCTCTTGGTCCAAATGTAGTTGATCAGCCAAGACATGTTTAGTGAAGTTTGCTTCTTTAGTTTCACATTGCAGCTATGAGGCTAACAGCTTTTAGTATTAGTATTGTGTGCCTAAATCAAATGCCTTAAGCTATGCTGAGTTGTTAAATAATATAAAACCAGCTTATGTGGTTTCTGCTTCTGCTACTTCCGAGTATAGGTTTCCATCACTTATTAACTACATTAGCCTAGTTGCTCCAGCACAAAAACTTAAAAGTCTTGACTTATTACAGCTGGAGCAACAGCAAAATTCTATTTAGTTAAGTATGCAAAGACTTGACTGTGGTTTCATTCAGACTAGCATGCAGCGTGTAAAAAAAAGATTTGATCTAGGGTCAGATAACATGACTAGGATTACTATAACCTGGGGAAGGATCTGACGGTGAATCAGCAGTTCTACTCTGGGATGTTACATAACCAACCAATCTTCCCATGAAGTTTCCAAGGATGGATTTCAGAGGATTTCAGTTTAGAGCCTAAACAACAGCATCATTGGTTGATTTTCCAGGCACAATAACATTAGACTAAAAGCGCTTTCTGAACCCTCAGAGATGCACATCTTTGGCATCATATCAACCTCTTAAAACCTCTTTTCCCCTCACCAAACATGCATGTGAATTAAGTGATTTTGAAGCTGTACTTACACCAAAGTAATACTATAATAGCTAAAGTATAAACTTTGATTAAGAGTAGCCTCTCAATTATATGTCACATGGATGCTACAAGTTCTAGTGGCCCATCTTCTTCAAAGTTGCAATAAATTTATCAACACACTTAATAGACAACAAATAACAGTACCTTTTCTCAGCCTCCAGCTTGTCCATACGCTTCCAGAGCCGGTTAACCAGCGCCTCCTGCTCCTGTTCTAGAGTGTTCTCCAAGTCTATCTTCTCACGACGCAGCTGAAACACACACAAACAAAACATTCAACTCCAGGCTGCAGCAGGTGCCTATAGTGTGTGATCCAAGCCTGCAAGGAACTGCTATTAAGTAACAAACCAGCCATGAAATGCCCTATAATTAAACTAGTTAATAATGAGGAAAGAAAAGCAGTCACAACATGAGCTGTACCTAAGGCTGGCTTTCATTACACAACTTTTGATATTTACACCAATAACATGATTTTGGTCAGAAAATTAACATAGTATAATTGATTTTTCAGATTTACCACTATTTTACCATCAATATTACATATAAAATGCTGAAGTCAAGTGTAGGTTGACTGGTGGTTTTGGATAGTAAATAAAATGGCTACAATTGTGCTGTGGACATCAAAGTTCCTGCTGCCACCATTGTAGAGAAATCCAACTTGGTAAGTTTCTCCAAAACACATTTCACATCAAACTGGTGTGAAAAATTTTGTTAATGTCACAACTGAATTACGCACATATTTTGAACATAGTGGATTTTCCCTTTAATACTATACATGTAATTACAGAGAGCATTTACATGCATGGTATTAACTCTGAGACTAACTAAAATAAATATACAGTATGAACACAATCAGGCCACGTGTTATTTCTACATAAGGTTTGGTTGTGGTCCAGATAATTTAGACAGACAATCAGCAATTTGGATTTTGAACAGGAATGATTAAGGGCTCTATGCCTCTACGCCTGACAACTTAGGTATTTAAATTTAGTTTTTTAAACAACAATGCATTATTTGATAGTCTGTAGTATTAAACTAATTTGGGTGGTACCATAAAAGTATTGAATTTCGAAACCCAGTCCTATTTGTGTCTCCAGATGAAGCAGCACCATTCAAATATTATTTGTTTTATAAAGAGTATGTACAAAACCCTTAAGCAAACTCCATGGTTCATGTGGTCTGTGTACACTGTAAAAACGTGGCAGTCGTACTTGTTCTAGGGTGAGCTGCTTGGAGATGGTGTCGTTCTCCAGCTTCTTGATCTTCTTCATCAGTTTGTTAACCTGAAACTCCTGCTCCTGCTCCAAGTGCTGTTCCAGCTCAGCCTTCTCATGCTGGAGCTAGAGGAAGATAAAGGGAGAGATAACGTTTGAGTAAGGACGAATTAATGAACATGAGCAAAGGAACAGTTTTACAGCTCTCCCTACTCTCTACTGAGTTCCTTATGTGGTTAAGTTCTCCAGGATGTGCTGAAAAATTTCCACCTGACCGTCTATTATTCAGTAACTATTCTGATTCATTCAGTACCTAATCTATGATAAAACTAATAATAAGTTAAAATGTACCAAGAGTGAAGAATGGAAGTTCCTTGTATTTAAAAGGGGTTAAACCACACAGTGACTAACTAAAATAAATATACAGCATGAAATGAACACAATCATGTTATTTCTACGGGAGGTTTGGTTGTAGTCCAGATAATGTGTCACTACATCCTACTAAGGCACATACGGTGGAGGTGGTGACTCAACAACCCTGCTCAGATGCCCGGCATTCTTCCCAGTGCAGCCGATTCCTGACAAAGCCTTGTTATTTCGGTGAACTTTACCCTGCGCGGATGCCCCCACAACACCCAGCCATGCTTCCCACATGTCCTCCTGTTTTACAGTAGTACTTTGAGCTGAACAAGAGAGCACCTGACTGCCTTACTAAAGGAAGGCAACTTAGAGAATATGTATCATTTGATCATGTGCTTCCAGCTACTATAAACTGAACCTACATTCCTGATTTCAGCTCACATGTCATTAACTGCTACAGGCTGCTGATCTGAGCTTCTCTCTTAAAGGGGAATTCCTAAGTTTCTGCATAATTAAATCTCTAAGATGTAAACAAAGTCATTTAGAACGGTTTGATGTGAAATGCTCCGTTCAAGAGAAACTTGTTTACAGCTGGCGATAGAAACCAGACGTCTGAGGAGTTTAATGCCTCTAAAAGCTCCCATAACCAGAATAAATGGTTATGAATGCACTGCTTGATGCCTGAGACTTTGTTTTATGATGGTTTTAAAATTAACTTTGGGCCTTACATGTATTTTTTCCATTCTTGGCAGAGAGGTACATGCAGAGATAAAGCAAAACAATCTCTAAAATCTATTTTTTTCAGCTTTACCACTACTTTGCCATTACATATTACATATAAAAACATATTTAGGTTCTCTAGTTGTTTTGGATAGTAAATAAAACAGCTGTATTTGTGTTTGTACACACACTGCAAACCATGATTCTCATCACCACAACAGTAAAGAAATTTCCTACAATTAACCATTTCACATCAAGCCACTCTATAACTCTGAATTCACTTCTCAACAAATGAAACATCATTGGAATTCCCCTTTACGCATGCTGTAGGCGTACTAGAGCAAATGTGAGGGACTATGGGAAATGCCATAAAGATATGGCATTCACCTGATAAAAACGCCCATGTGTGATTTGAGAGAGTCGGCAACCATTGACAGGGACCAACGTATGAAGCAAAGTCTGGAAGGCTAATGCTTGGACATCTGCTTCCAAATGAACTAAGAAAAACTTGCTTTTGTCCATTAAAAAGCCTCAAGCTAAAAACATTAGCAGCCATCTCGAAGCCTGAAAGCTAGGGCTGAGACACATGTCAATGTCACTTTTCATTTCACAATCCATGATATTCTTAAAGAAGTTTACCATGAACAAAACCTCTGCTGCAAAGCTCCCAGAACTGGACAAAAAACTGGTTTGGTCAGCCTACCCTGGACAAATCTGTTTCTTATGGCCAGCTTCATACAAGTTTCACCTTAAGGGTGCAGCAGTTACACACTGACACCGGAGTAAAATAGATGGCGAATAAGAAGCTTCAGCTCTGTCCAGCTGGGATGGATGATTAGACAAACTGCTTGAAATGACAAAATGTGGACAAAGTAAAGCACAGAACAATGACAAGTCGCAGCAGGTACTTCTCAACACAGGATTCAAACAGCCACTTAGCCAATTCTGAATAGGCCAAACAAGTAACTCCACAGAGATGTTACAGCTTAAGATAGCTAATGAGTTGCAGAGAGTCAGGGAATCCGCAGTTTGCTGGGAGTGGTTGAGCCATGTTAGAAAATCCATTCATCACTCACTTCAGTTAGAAGGTAAGAGCCACACCTTTATGTACAAAATCTGACTGTACATGAACTTGTAGAGCTCAGATCATTTAATTTTGAGATGTAGCCTTGTAGACTACAATTTCTTTCTTTTTATTATGAGCTATACTATGTATTTGCAAACCTTTTAAATTTTTTAATGTATTTTGTGTCTAAGACAGCAACATGTGGCAGTTATCCAGCCCCAACAAGCACTGCTGCCTTTTTTGGGGGATTTTTTTCAGAAGTACCAAAAAAGAAATAAAATGTTGAAAGTTACGTTAGAGTACTTTTCTATATCTTATTTTTTTCACCAAACTATGGCTTTAAGATAAGATTTTTCAACATTTCGTTACCACTTTGCCTAGCATTAAACAAAAGGGAACAGATAAAGATGCACATTTACACTTAGCCATGATGTCTCATGTACAGTACATACACCACATGCAAATCACTCGCACTCATACGCATACACAGAGTGCACTGTCCAGTTACGCCCCCCCACAACACCCACACATCCCCCTTAAAATGTGTCATCTAGTCAGATCAACTGGAGACTGACTCACTCTCTCCTTACTCACAGCACCTGCCCAAAACCACACAAACTGTGGGTGTTCAAAATCACTGTAGAACTGAACCCAAACCCATCGTGGCCTCCCAGCACCAATTCCACTGATTCATCCAAACTGTGGGTGGAAGAGGCTAAATATCAGGGTTTGTACTGTAGAAACGCTGAAGGACAGTCGGCTTCTAGTATTAAAGTGCAACAACCGATATTTACACCTTGTGCAGATACTGATACTATTAGCATTTTAAGAGATGCACAATAACATCGGAATCATACTGTTATCGGTAGATACTTGCTTGTAAAAATTGGAATCAGACAGATGTTTAGATTTTGCCAATATCTCAAAGAAATATTTGATTCTTACATTGTACTCTGGAAGAGCAGAATGTTTAAGTGAAGCTAGGTTACTGCACTAAAACATCTGCATTTTATTTACTTTACTGCTTTTGTAACTTTACAGATATAAATGGTGCTTTTCTTTGCACTGCTAATCCAAGTACACCCCAACATATCAAATGTTGAAATAGAGGAACTTTATTGTTTTCTGAAAAATATTTGCCCATTTTGAATTTGATGCCAACAACACGTTCCATAAATGTTGGGACAGGGGCAATAAAAGGCTGGTAAAGTTGTGTAATGCTTAAAAAAACAAACAAACAAAAAAAAACACCTGGTCAACAGGTCAGCAACATGATTGGGCATAAAAAGAGCATCTCAGAGAGGCTGAGTCTTTCAGAAGTAAAGATGAGGAGAGGTTTGTCACTGTGAAAGACTACACGATCAAATGGTGCAACAATTCAAGAATTCTCAACGTAAAATAGCAAAGAACTTTTGCTTTTCATAATCTACGGTACATAATAACATTAAAAGGTTAAGAGAATCTGGAGAAATATCTGTATGCAAGGGACAAGGCCAAAAACCAGTATTTGCTGGCCATGATTTTTGGGCCCTCAGGTGGCACAGCGTTAAAAGCAGACATGATTCTGTAGTGGAAATCACTGCAAGGGCTCAGGAACACTGTCTGTGAAAACAGTTCGTCGCTGCATCCACAAATGCAAGTTAAACCTCTAAAACGCAAAGAAGAACTTATATATAAACAGGATCCAGAAAAGCTGCCACCTTCTCTGGGCCTGAGCTCATTTAAAATGGACTGAGGTGAAGTAGAAAAGTATCCTGTGGTCCGATGAATCAACATTTGAAATTTCATTTTGAAAATCTTATGGACACTGTCCTCCAGGCTAAAGACCACTCACCTTGTTATCAGTGCACAGTTCAAAGGCCAGTATTCATGATGGTATAGGGGTGCATTAGTGCACATGGCATAGACGATGTGCACATCTGTGAAGGCACCGTTAATGCTGAACAATATATACAGGTTTGGGCAAAATATGCTGCCATCCAGACGACATCTTTTTCAGGGAAGGCCTCGCTTATTTCAGCAAGACAATATAAAACCACATTCTGCATGTATTACAACAGCATGGCTCTGTATTAAGATAGTCCAGGTGCTGAACTGTCCTGCCTGCAGTCCAGACCTGTCACCACTGAAAACATTTGGTGCATTATGAAATGAAAAATATGACAAATGAGACCTTGAACTGTTGGGCAGCTGAAATCCTGTATCAAACAAGAACAGGAAACCATTTTACTTTCAAAACCACAGCAGTGTCTCCTCAGTTCCCAAACACTTAGAGTTTGTTAAAAGAAGAGGTGATGAAACACAGTGGTAAACAGGCCCCCGTCCCAACTTTTTTGGAATGTGCTTTGGAATCAAATTCAAAATGAGCATATATTTTTCAAAAAACAATAAAATTTCTCAGTTTCAACATTTGATATGTTGTCCTTTTATTATTTTTTTACTATTAAAAATATGGTCTGCATGATTTGCGTATCACTGCATTCTATTTTTATTTACATTCTGCACAGCATCCCAACTTTTTTGGAAATGGGGTTGTAGATATGGTCCTAATTTCCACATTTTAGAAATGTTTTTGTATCGGCATCAGCAGATGCTTTCACGAAAAATATTGGATAACCGCATTGGCCCAAAACTGCCATATCGGTGCATCCCTAGATGTTTGACTTTTATCCCCAGAGCACTCACATCATTTATATATGCAAAATGATGTAAGGTAAAGTTTAACGATGCTAACTATCTCATAGCACTGGAAACATGACTCTTTGAAAGACTAGTTACTTTAGATTAATGCTGAAATTCGTTTATCACTGTACTTCAGCCGAACATGTCTATCAAACTACAATTTCATTTCTCTGATATAACCAAGAAAAACTACTGACATTTTCACTATGCAGAGTGTGACTATACCTGTACCACTGCATACACACGCAAAAAAGTTGAAGTCATCAGTTGTACTGCACAGCTGTAATTGCAATATCTGATAAATCTGCTATTAATAATTTAATTTATTTTACTGGAAAATAACACTGTCTGCTGACATATTGTGCATCTCTACTGTCCAATAAAGCACAATGCAGAAACAGATCCTAGATCTGCACTTATGGATTTAACTGCAAAGAGTTATTTGTTGTCTTCTTCCTTGTAGTTAACCCAATATTTGTTCATTAATTTTTATGGACACACAAACATTAAAATTAGTCAGAACATGCATAGTTTCAAGGCAGCCCTCTGTGAAAAAGGTCTTCAGACAGTTAACCCTTATGAAAATTTAGAATACAGCACAAATCGGCCAGGTGGGTGAACTGGAAAGAGTTTATGCCCTGGAGGTTTCTAGACTGCACAGACTTTCTGGAAAATATGCTTCTGAAGACAAGTTTATTGCCTGAGCAGATTTCTGGACAGGTGAATTTTCTAGACCAGTGCTACCCACCCTGGTCCTCAGGGCCCCCCTAGATGGCCCATATTTTTGCTTCCTCTCAGCTTCCAACACATAGGGACAGAGCAAAAATGTGGACCGTCTAAGGCGCCCTGAAGACTGGGTTTGGAAGCACTGCTCTATCTAGATAATGCGAGTCGTTACAAGACATGGACCTCACATATATCCAGAACACTAAGCACTAGTCTAGAAAATGCATGCAAACCAAAGACAGGTCCAGAAAACTTAAACAGGTAACAGATTTGTCTAGGACAGTGATCCTCAAGCTCATCCTCAGGGACCCCAGACAGCCCATATTTATTGTGTAACCCAAATTACAACATGTATGAAAGACGGAATTCATGCGGACCATCTGGGGGGCTCTGAAGGCCCACAGTCTTTGGTCTGCATGTTCTCAGCAATAGTTCTCAAACAGGTCCACAGGGAGCCCTGATGCCCCATTTGAGAACCACTGATCTAGAGGAGTTTCCAACCTGTAAGCAAGTATAGTGGCCTGACCTATATATATATATATATATATATATATACATACATATACACACACATATGCACTTTGTAGTTCTACAATTACAGACTGCTGCCCATCTGTTCCTCTGCATACTTTGTTAGCCACCTTTTCTTCAGTGGTCAGGACCCCCATGGACCCTTACAAAGCAGACTATTCGGGTGGTGGATCATTCTCAGCACTGCAGTAACTCTGACGTGGTGGTGGTGTGTTAGTGTGTGTTGTGCTGGTCTGAGTGGATCAGACACAGCAGTGCTGCTGGAGTTTTTAAACACTTTGTCCACTCACTCTCCACTCTATTAGACACTCCTACCTTGTCAGTCCACCTTGTAGATGTAAAGTCAGAGACAGTAGCTCATCTGCTGCTACACAGTTTGTGTTGGTCATCCTCTAGTCCTTCATCAGTGGTCACAGGATGCTGCCCACAGGACACTGTTGGCTGGATGTTTTGGTTGGTGGACTATTATCAGTCCAGCAGTGACACTGAGGTGTTTAAAAACTCCAGCAGCACTGCTGTATCTGATCCACTCAGACCAGCACAACACACACTAACACACCACCACCACATCAGTTTTACTGCCATGGGGGTCCTGACCACTGAAGAACAGGGTAAAAGGAGGCTAACAAAGTATGCAGAGAAAAAGATGGACTACAGTCTGTAATTGTAGACATTATACAATGTATACATTATAAAACTTATACACTGGTACTAGATCTAGCTAGTAATAAACATGTACTCAGGGGTAATCTAAACATTCTGCTCTTCTGGAGTACAATAAATACATAATCAAATGATGATTTGAAATTTACTCGCCTATGCTGATATTATTCTGTAACTTACTGGGTCTAGCTGCATCACAATCAACACAATCAAATAATCTGAGAATTTGAGATAATTGGTTTACATCTGTGTCAGTTTGAATACAACCAATCAGCTCGCTCTCTGCAAGTAGTGACAAATCAGATGATTCTGGGATCAGATTAACACTTTGATAGCAGCATAAACTACAGTAAACAACTGCTACAGAGCAAAAACAGGAAGAACTGCTGAACAATAGTACATTTCTTCAAATCAAATATGTGACTGTATGCACCTGACATCTCAAAGGCCCCACTCTCAAAAATCTGTTACACAGTCCATGCCTATGTTTTCCATAAGTTTTTTTTTAACGGTTCTCTGGTCTGGGGTCTCACCTGCATGAGTTTCCGGGACAGGTCGTTAGTGAGGAACTCCTCCTCCTTTTCATAGTTCACGGCAAGCGTCTCTTTCTCCTTCTGCAGAGCCTGGATCTTCTTAAACAAGGTGTTTGAGATGAACTCCTCTTCTTGTTCTGCCCTCGCTTGCTGTTGACACAGATCAAACATAAATTTAGATCATGCTCACAAGCTCAAATTTTCACAAGATATGCATCACAACATGTACGTTTTTGCACCAGTAGAGCCACATTTTTTAAAAAAAGGCTAGGAAATATTGCCGGCAAAGTCATTTTTGTTTGTTTATTGAAGAGTTCACAAAAACATATATAAGAGTTTGTAAAAATAAAGTAATAAAATAATATAATGGCGTAACAGACTGACATCCAATCAGCTACTTATTACTAAGCAGTTTTTGCAGTTACTATACACCACGTTTGTTTATAGCCTCTTTAAAATACATCTAAATCTATCGTTTTTAATACTAGTTGCTTTAATACCAGTGCTTTACAAGATCTATGAAAGTCTATGCTCAGAAAACCATACTGTGGCGCTGTTTATTATGATAATGACACAATATTGCCAAACGTAGAGTACATTCAAACAGACAAACAGCACCATTTCTGAAAAGTTCATCTGTTCATATGTGATGCTCATTGTATCTGTTTTAAAGATCCAAATTTGCACAGTAGCCTGCAGTGTCCCAAATCAAGATACTGGATCTGGTGATGGGGAGTTCAATTCTGATCACCATTGCAAATCAAGCCTTTCTGAAATGCTCCAAATTACCTAAACCAAACAATGGCACCAACGTAAGCCCCTGACAAAGCCCTAAGCTTTGCACTATTCTTTGCTACACTGGAAACCCAAATACCAGCTCCAGTCCATCTCCGAGCCAGCCAGAGGCATTTGTCATGCCCTAATTAAGAGATTATTTTCCAGCACCCCTTTGGTTTTAGCATTTTATTAGAGTGTAAAATTATTTTGTACTACCGAACACTAAGAACAGTGAGACATTCAGTGAGTTAGATCTCAATTTTAACTTTCCTATTATGTGACAGGTCAGTCTGACCCATTTCTACTTTTCAGGTGCCTGAAATACTGGCCAACCTCTCTTTTTCTCCAGAAAATTCTTTGACTTTTCCTTAATTAGGGTAACGAACTTACACGCAAAGTGTCGTCATACTGATGTGTTGTGGAGAGTCTGTAAAATATTTCTACACAAAGGTGATGTTTTGATGCTTTTATGAACAGCGATGGGTTCAAAGACCTAACATAAAAAACATCTTTGATGTGTACTGATGTTCTGGGAGGTGTGAAAAGAAGCTTCCCCGCATTTCTTGTTTGCACTGCGAAAAATTTCGTCACACACAGGCACGGAAAAGACTTTCAGCTTCTAATGTCATCAAAATGGTGCCAGGGCGTATAGGATTTCCAGACACTTGAGTCTATGACAGTCAGTTTTTGACCTCTTCACACGACAACTGGAAACCACCAGATCTAGAGTTTCATAAAATTTGGAAGCCACTGGATCATAAGTTTCTTAAGACCTGGAAGCAATCAGATTGTAAGTCTCCTAAGAACTGGAAGCTACTGGATCGTATGTTTCAAAAGAACTGGAAGCCACCGGATCAGACACTTCATAAGAACTGGAAGCCATCGAATCGAGAGTTTTGCAAGAACTGGAAGCCAATGGATTGAGAGTCACAGGACCGTGAATTTGGTCAGAACTGGAAGCCACCATTTTGTGAGTTTCATCAGAACTGGAAACCACTGGATTGTAAGTTTTGTAAGAACTGGAAGCCACTGAATCATGCATGTATCAATGCATACATGTGAAACGGAGAAGTGAATGCCAGTCTATGGAATAAGGAAAAGGAGAGGCCAATATTTTTGGTCATTTGGTGATTTTCTACAACACTGTTTTACTGTATTATTGACAGAAATGCTGAAAGAGTAAGTGAGGCCATCTTGAAGAATCTGGAAATCTTTGCATAATATTAATGTTATCAAAATGCTACAGTTTGTGAGGAAAATGTTTACTGAATTATTAAATATGGCGTATATGCCATCTGTTCTTATATTTGTCTTTCTAAATTTTCTGACAAGCCATAATGGATGTATTTTTTAACATAACAAAAGGGTTAAATCATTCTCAGCTGTGCATAATGCACTAAAAGGCAATAAAGTTTAGAGATTTCCCTCTCAGCAAGCTCACAAAATAAGTGTAATATTACTGGCTTAGTTTAGAAACCAGCTGAAAGTAAGGCAGTAGCTACTTTCCAACTTTTCCTACTTGTCTCCATCCCAGGTATTGTCCAACTCAGAGAATGCTCAGGTGTTAAATCAGTTCTAACCTATATCCAGGCCTAAAGATGGAGTACTGCAGCTTAGCTCATAACTCACTGGGACACAAAAACGCCCAAAACGACACATTTTTTCCATTAAAAGTGCTGGATGGTCAGACAGCTGGCTGCTCTGGCAGAGATTTAGTTGCCAGTGATGACTCAGACTCTAGCTAAACTTAACGGGTCTTTCAATTTGGCTGAATTTGGCACACCAACAATAACGATTCTCAAACGCATTTAATAACTTTAATGAGCTTATATACGAGCTAACGTGTCCACACAGCATTTTAAAACACATATGTAAACGTTAACACAGCTAACTGGGCTGAACTGTCTTTGTTATGGCAGCTAGCTTAGTTTAGCTTAGCCTAGCCGGGATGCTACTCACTCCTTCGCAAAACAACAAGTACTAACGTTAACGTTAAGGTGACAAATCACATTTTTTTCTCTTCTCCGAACTCAGAGACTATTTCTAAACATGTTACATAAATTTAGCATTAGCTAATCAATAAATAATAACAACGTTAGCTAGCTAGCTACTGTTGCTATTCACTTAGCAACAGTGTTAGCCATCTAACCTGGGTGGGCTAGCTTAGCAACCAACGTGCTGTTGTTTTAAAGGCGACAAAACCTGAAAACCTAGCCGTTCTGTTGCAAGAAAATGCGTGACATTTGTATCTAGGGGTTCAGTCTAATATTAGAAACGCCTGTCATCATCAGTTGAGAAGCTAAAATAAGTAAAAGCCTGATTCGCCAGCTTCTTGTTCGTATTTCCCCGTTCCACCTTAAATGGTGCAGCAGTTGCATTCTAGCACCTCAGGCGCCAGAAGGTAACTGCTGCACTATTTAAGGTGGAACGGGAAAATTCGACCAAGAAGCTGGCGAATAAAAATATGAAGCTGACTTGCAGCTTGGTGTGAGCCTTAACCTACGATGGTAACGCTGGCTTTGCGCAGGTCCCGGTTCTCCTCCTGCAGGGACTTGCACTTCAGCTTGAACGTCTCCAGCTCGATCTTCAGCACTTTGTTCTCCTGCTGCAGCGAGGCCAGGCGGTTCGTCAGCTCCTCCAGCCGAGACTGCGAGATGACGACGCCCTGCTTGCCGCCGCTGCTACCGCCGCCGCCGCCACCGGGCGCTGAGGCGGCCGAAGAGGACGATGAGGAGAGCGGCGGGACTGAGGCGCTGCAGCCCGCGCCGTCCGTGTCGCTCTCGCTGGCGCTGTCTGCCATGGCCGCGCCGCCGGGCAAGGAGGACGCGAGGGGTGCGCGATCCGAGAGCGTGTCTCCGAGTGTGTCTGTGAGTGCGAGAAAACACGACCAGCGCGAGCTGAGAGCGTGCGTGTGCGCGAGAAGAGCGCGCGACGAGCGCGAGAGCTGTGAGGGAGTGACGCGACAGTGAGGGGTGGGCGGGTGAGCGGTACCACCGACAATCGATTCGATCCTGTTGGGGGAAAACAAGTAGTTTCGATCTTGTGGAGTGTTTATTGGCTGAAGATATTTTATGATAAATATAATATTAAGAAAATAATGACAAACTATTGCACAGAATTTATAATTCTGAACGTTTCTGGCAAAGCTTTTAAAAACGTTTAGATGATGTTAGCTGTTCATTTTGTGATGCTGGTGTAGAAACTGTAGCTATATTTTTTTATTGATTTTGAAATTTCTAAACCTTTATACACCAAAATGATTTCTCTTTATTTTACTACTACTACTTGGGTACTACTTGGGTTTTACAATATGTGTAAAGGGAGGAAAACAAACATTTTCTGATCAGCTTTCTAATACTTATCAAAAGTAAATTTAACAACGAACGACCTCTTTATTAAGGAAATAAACAATATCTACATAGACAGTATTTCTGCTTCAACCAGCACTGAAGACCCTTTTTTCTGTTTTTAAAGGTTTTACTTGATTGTGAGTTACGTTAACCCCTAGTACTTTTTGTTTTCCTTCTTTTGTTTATTTTTGTGCATCTTATGTGCATTTTATTTTATACATGTGGTTTTTAAAATACATACATATACATTGAAAATGAAACTTTAATAAAAATAAATAAACAAATAGTCCTATATATGGGGAGTTCAAAGGCACTCAAAAGCATAACAGCTGTATTGAAAAAATAAATACATAATGACATATTACAACAAAATAATTGCTTACTTTCTTGAAACTGTATCACTATTTTCACATAGTATCTCAAAATAGAGAAAATATGTAATTATTTTAAGATATTGAGTCAGTATTTCAGTTATTTTGACATACTAAGCCAATGAAAATGTGACCTGATGTCATATCTGATGTACACCAACCAGGCATAACATTATGATCACCTCCTTGTTTCTACGCTCATTGTCCATTTTATCAGCTCCACTTACTATATAGGTGCACTTTGTAGTCCTACAATTACAGACTGTAGTCCATCTGTTTCTCTGCATACTTTGTTAGCCCCCTTTTACCCTGTTCTTCAGTGGTCAGGACCCCCATGGACCCTCACAGAGCAGGTACTATTTGGGTGGTGGATCATTCTCAGCACTGCAGTAACACTGATGTGGTGGTGGTGTGTTATTGTGTGTTGCGCTGGTCTGAGTGGAAACACCTCAGTGTCACTGCTGGACTGAGAATAGTCCACCAACTAAAAATATCCAGTCAACAGCGTCCTGTGGCCACCAGTGAAGGACTAGAGGATGATTAGCTCATACTGTACAGCAAGAGATGAGCTACTGTCTCTGGCTGTACATCTACAGGGTGGACCAACAACGCAGGTGCGTCTAATAGAGTGGACAGTGAGTGGACACAGTGTTTAAAAACTCCAGCAGCACTGCTGTGTCTGATCCACTCAGACCAGCACAACACACACTAACACACCACCACCACGTCAGTGTCACTGCAGTGCTGAGAACGATCCACCAGCCAAATAGTACCTGCTCTGTGAGGGTCCATGGGGGTCCTGACCACTGAAGAACAGGGTAAAAGGGGGCTAACAAAGTATGCAGAGAAACAGATGGACTACAGTCTGTAACTGTAGAACTACAAAGTGCACCTATATAGTAAGTGGAGCTGATAAAACAAGGAGGTGGTCATAATGTTATGCCTGGTCAGTGTATACATATGATATATAACACACACACTTTTATATATCCTTCTGGGTCATGGGGGGAGCTGAAGCCTATACCAGCAATCGAACCCAGACCCTTCTTGCTGTGAGGCGACAGCGCTACCCACTGTGGCACTGTGCCGCCCATGTTATATAATATCGCAAGATGCTACGTCAATATTTTGACATACTGGTGCCAGAAGGAAGCTGCAGGAATGGGCTTACAGACATTGTTGTCAGTGTGACCACACATCCTCTTTATTCAGCTCCTGTTTTCACAACCTAGAAACAAGTTCTAAATTGTCAAGAGCTGCTTTCTACAGCCTGCCCTGTGCCGTCTTCCTGCCCCCAGTGTCCTCTTTTCTCAAAACCAAAATACTTTTAGAAAACAAACTGATGTGCAAATATCCAAGTGTGTCCTATTTCCCAAATGCACAAAAGTTTACTGCACAAAACCACACTGAAAGCAGCCTTTCCTGAAAACTGGAGCAAAGAAGTCTTGGCACAGCTAGTTTAAAGGGAAATTCCACTGATTTTTTAACGTCTCTGCATGATTAAATCCTTCAGATGTAAACATACTCAGAGTGTTTAGGTCTGAAAAGCTTCATTGTAGAAAAACTTACAGACTCAGATTTCTTTGCAGTGGTGGTGATAGGAACCAGGGGTCACCATGACTAGAACACAAATATAGACATTGTATTTACTATCCAAAACGACCAGTGAACCTACACGTGTCTACACGAGTTCTATATGGAATATTGATGATGGAAAAAAGTGAAAAATCTGAAAAAAATAAATTTTCTTTGGGAATTATATGGCCTTAAAACATCTAAAGTATGCATCCCTCCACCATGAATAGCTTTTAAAAAACACATATCTGAAAACTATCATGAAACAATGTCTCAGACCACAGGCAGTGTATTCATTTCATATAATATCTCTCTGTGAGGGAGCTTTTAAAGGTGGACTTCCGGTTCCTAACACCACCACTGTGAACAATTCTGACTCAGTAAGTTTCTCTAGAACAGAACATTTCACACCAAACCTCTCTGAATGACTCTGTTGGCATCTTAAACCTTGAATAATACAGCAATTTTGAAAAAAATGGTGGGATTTCCCTTTGAGAGGAGCCTGGCCACTTCCTATTCCTATACCATCAACATGAGGCCAGCCCTCAATAGCATTTAAAAACCTTCAAATATTTGTTGATCTAGACTATGGAAACATACATTGTTGCTATTATTGTATGAATGTCAACAAAACATTTTTTTGGTTAATATTAGTGGAAAATGTGTTTGTCGATACCTAAAACTGCTATAAATCTGCTATAATCTGAAGGATTTTCATGAAAAATAATGCATATAATGTAATCATTTGTGCATAACTTTAAGGTAATGTACCACATTTCTCTCACATACCCCGTAGAACAAACAGTAAAGTTTTTTTTACATTTTTATATTATCACATGTTGGTTACACAGTAAGTCAAAGGAAAATTAGCTGCTGAAAGGGGTCCTATGAAGCTCAGTGCCTAAAATGCTAATTAAATATCTTTCTAGTCTTTCACACAGAGATTTCCTTTAATGCTGGTAAGTAAAAGGAGGCATTGCATGAAAGAAATCCATGAAATTCTTCCAGTATCTACAGAAAACACAATTGCTAGATGGATGCTAGCATTACAGCAACTGAACACTGATTGGTTGATGAGCTGATCACTTCATTGGCTGAGTGAAGTGGTCACTGACATGGTGAATGTACATTAGGCTTTGTTAGAAAGTCGTATAATTAGAGTGACAAATGTCTTCTTAAAATCCTCAAGGATTGGATTTTGGTCATTCTCCGAGGCCTCACCCAATTCCTGGAGTCTGAAATCCACCACAAGACTAATGGTTAACATGTCGACAGGGTCATTCAGAGTGGTTTGGTGTGAAACGCTCTGTTCTAGAGAAGCTAGAGTCAGACTGAATCACAGTGGTGGTGATAGGAACCAGACGTCCACCTCTAAAAGCTCCCGCACAGAAAGTTATTACATGGTAGACATGGTGACTCCTGGTTCCTATCAGCACCACTGTAAAGAAATCTGAGTGCAAGTTTTCCTGCAAATGTACCATTTCACATTAAACCACCCCGAAAAACTTTTATATTTTACCCATTGAATTATGCAGAAATTTTGAAAAAGTGGTGGAATTCCCCTTTAAAGGCAATCCTTGAGATTGGCACTGATAACTCGACATCCACTTAAACTGACAGAACTACATTTCCCAAAAGGCTCTCAGAATGACACTCCACAATCCATTAAAGACACAATGTACATATTATATATCAGATCACATGTAAAAAATATGTATGGTCTTTTGTATTTTTAACAGCTCTTAAAGGAAATTCCAGTGCTTTTTCAAAATTTTGGCATAATTCAGTGGTTGATAAACAACAACAATAACAAAATAAACAAAGTCATTCAGAGTGGTTTGGTGCAAAATGATTATGGAGACTCATTTCTTTACAGTGGTGATGATAGGAACCAGGGGTCACCATGACTACGACACAAATATAGCCATTTTATTTACTATCCAAAACCACCAGTGAACCTACACATGTCTTCTCCGTTTTATATATAATGTTTATGATGCTAAAATAGTGGTCAATCTGAGAAAATAAGTTTTCCTCAGGGGACTATTTTGCATCACAGCACTCTTGTATCCTTTTGCAATAAACAGATTAAAATAAATTGATTAAAATATGTTTAGATTAAAACTTTATCACAAAACTACTGTAAAACAATGCCTCAGACATCAGGCAGTGCATTCATAACCATTTCATGTAATAACTTTCTGTGCGGGAGCTTTTAGAGGTGGACGTCTGGTTCCCATCACCACCACTGTGAACAATTCAAGTTTCTACAGAACAGAACATTTCACACCAAACCACTCTGAATCACTCTGTTGACACATTAACATGTTAATTATGCAGAAAATTTGAGCAATCAGTGGAGCTCCCCTTTCACACATGTTGTGATGATGCAATGTCACCACTAGATGGCACTGTAGTATATTTGTACTTGAATGCTCCTCTTGCAGCTTCATTCACTGGACCACACAGTACCTGTTCTTGATTAGCCAGCGTCTGTTTTAAGTCATTTTTACTGTCTGAATATTGTTTCTTAGCTTTAAAACATCTTTAAGGTCAAACAGAGAATTGCCCAGCCTTCTCACAGGGAGCTTTGGGTTTAC